TTTCCATATAGCCTTGGAGGATGAGAATGAAAGTGGCGGCCCCCCAATCTCTGCCCAGAGGAGCTGAGAACTCAGGGGCCCCACTCCTCAGTGAGCCCCCAGAGAAAAGCAATCAATCACTCCCATCTCCCTGGTCTCCAGCCGTACTCCCTGCTCACCTGGCCTGTGACCGTGCATTTCTATCTCTGGCACATGACCCCATGTGGAGTCTCCCAACCCAGCAGATCCCTGTGGTGCTCTCCCACGCTACTCCTCCCAGGGAAGGAAGGGGAGTCTCCCTGGATCTGCTGCTTGTTGGGTCCCTGATGTAGGAGCAGTGGCCTGACTGTGCCTCGGATCACAGTTTATGGCAACCCTGAGCTGAAAGCCCACTCCTCAGGTCCGTCTCTGCAGCAGGCTTCCTTGCTCTGACACCTGGGAGCTCTGCCGCACTCAGGCACCCCCCATCTTCCTGTGACCCCAAGGGTCCTCAGACCACACTGTCACAGTGAGGGTTCCACCTCTGCTTAGCCACTGGAGCAACATCCCTTAGTGGAGCAGATTTCTAAAATTTCCAATTTGTGATCCACTGCTCTATCACTTGCCAGAATTGGCCGATGGAGACCCCCTCCCCCGCTGTCTATCCTCCCGAATATCGCCTCAGATTCAGTTCTCCGCATATCCTACCTTCCAGAAAGTGGTCGCTTTTCTGTTCAGAGAGTTGTTGCTATTCTTTCCTTCGATCTCCTGCTGAATTCATAGGTGTTCAGGATGGTTTGATCCCTATCCAGCTGAATTCCTGGGACCAGATGAAATCCAGGTCTCCTACACCTCTGCCATCTTGCTCCTCCCCGACTCCCAGAATTTTTTTTTTAATCTAAAAAATTTGTTTTGCATTGTAAAGCCTAGAATTACAGTAGCCATTTCACTACCATGAAGTAAAGCAGCCTGAGGACATGGTAAGCACAGTAAAAAGGGCAGAGCTGAGAGAACTGATCAAATCATACCTGAAGCCTAACCTACTTTGGACTTTTAGTCACATGAGCCAATAAATCCCCTTATTTGTTTAAAGGCTGTGAATTATGTTTTCTATTGCTTACAGCATAAAGAGTCCTAACAGCTTCAGAATGTGTAAACTTCATGAAGTTAGTGAATGATTATTTTCCTGGTGATTGGATATGGTAAGAACTGAAGCTAAAAAAAGGTCCAGTTTTCAGAAAAAAAATGCATCATCTTTCAGAAAAAAGCATTCTGGGGTCATTTGCAGACCATCAAATCATCATCACCATTACTACAAATTATTGGAGGAATAAATTAGAAGGAAAAGGAAGAACCAAGGAGTAGAAAGGATTTTGAATCATGAAATAAGATTTTAAAGTGAAAATCCTCCCCTTTCCTCCAATAGAGAGTATCATCCTTTTTGTGACCCTCTATCAATAGTTGTCACAGTTACTGTTACATCCTCTTGCTGGATTTTGCTTTCAGTTCTTTTTATGAAATTAAAAGCAAGAAATTGTTATAAGGTTTTTTAACAAATAACTTAAAGCCCTTAGAAATGGCATATAAGCAGCTGAGTATATAAGTCTTGAGTAAGGGTCTTCAAACTCATAAGAATCATGTATGGAGCTTTTAAAATCCTAAACCTCACATCCAGACAAATCTGATGCCAGTAGTCATTTCACTTGGAAATGACTTGGAAAAACTGACTTAAAGAAAGTCAGTTACTATTTACTACATAATTTTCTGGATTTAGTTCCCCTAAACCAGAAAATTTTGACTCTAATGATGTAGTATTTAAAATCAAGTAATTAACTGGAATGTCATTTATATTCTTATTTAAATTATCTGTGCAGCTGATTATATTAAGTCTTGATTTCATCAGCATGGCTTATACTACTATAAATTGACATTCTAAAGCATTATCATGTATCAAAAAGGGCAGGAGTTCAACTTAAGATAGACACAAATTATAAATCTTAATTTTAAACAGTAATTTAACTTGATTTCCCCTCAGTTTTCTCATTTATAAGGTGTAAATCATTATGTCTTCTTCAATAGATTTTTGTTAGAAATAACTAAGATAATGAGGGTATACAAAGCACCTACCAGAATTATACACAAATTAGAAGCTAGTAAATTGTAATTATTATTATTTGATTCCCTATTTAATTCTTACATGTGTAATTTAAAGAAAATAGAGCCTCGTATTCATTTACTTTAGGACAGTTATGGAAAATTACCAGTTTGAAAAGCCTTGGTATAGTAATGACAGACCAATTAGTTTAGTTCTTTGAGCCCCAGCTAAGCTGTTGGTGAAAGGAAAGCTAAAAGCTCAGTGCCTTAAACCTTCTGAGAGTAGCATAGTGATCTTTAAAAATCTATTGCCTCATATGATTTATATATTTTGAAAAACAGAAATTATGTGAAAAAGAAAATAAGGGAAAAGGTCATAGTTGTGCATTATGTGTATGTTGTTGGCAAGACACAATATTATTAGCACTTAATGAAGTAATAGGACCATGAATATGGCAATGGTCAATCAAATAAAAATGTAAATATCAGTAAAATAAGCATTTAAAGATTACAAATAAAATTATACAGTTAAATTTATTCTGTTGTATAGTATGTTGTAAATATCATTCACCATATAATTATACCCTAGAGAACCTTAATTACAAAGTTAAGTGATTAAATAGAATTGTGGTGCTAGACAAAAGAAATACTATGCTGAAGAACTTTTCACCTCCTACCTGATTATTTGAAAACAACTCGAATGAAAACTAAAGAAGATTATGCTTAGTGTGGTGTTTCTGAATTATTTTCAACTTTTTCCAAAATGTCACTATTATTTGTTCAGCATTTCTGAAGCATCTGAAGGTTTATGAGTTTTCTTAACATAGGAAATGAAAGAACTTGGGACTCAAGAGGACTATGTATAGGATCATAATATTAATTCAAATCTAGTGAGTAGACAGTAGCTGTGTTTGATCATTATATGGCTATTAAAAATCCATAGTGGATAAAATAAAATACTTAGGACCTATTTTTGTAACTTATCAGGTCATTATGGAACCAGAATGTTTTGACAGAGTTTAGTTGACTATTTCTACAAAAGTTATGTTTTAATCATTACTTTGCTATTTTCATTATTCACTTTTCATTAGATTGGTGACATTAATAATGTCAAACATTGCCTATTATTTTGTGCTTTCTTGCTGATAAGCCTTTAATCATAACCCATTAAAATGTTATATTCACTTAGTTTTTTGCAGCATCTATTTATAAAAAAAATTTTGTCTCCTTTGGCTTTTTCTTTGGTTCAAAATAATAGGGAACTTAACATTAGTCAGTATTTAATCTGGAAAACAAGAAGTCACACTATAGCAAGCATAAAGAGATTTAACACAAGGAAATTAGGTACTTGCAAAATCATTGGAAAGGTGGAGGACTGAGTGTCAGGGGTGGTATCTCTAGCTCTTATGTTCACTGCCCCAGAGAATCAGAGTGTTGCTACCATGAGGACATCAGAATCCTCTGAAGACTTTACAGCTCCTCTTCAATCTAGAAAAGAGTGAAAAGCAAAACACAGAAAAAAATAACTCAAATCTGGGAAGTCCAAACATCTGCTGCCACTACTGTCAGTGGAAGAATATGGTTTTTGCTTTTCTTCTTCCAAATATCATGTGAAAACATATCAGTTGTAAAATATAAAATATATATAGAAAGAAATGGGACCTAGGAATCTGGGAAATGTTCCAATATTTCAAACTCTTGCAATGGAGGGGATAGCATACAAGGTAATATAAAGGTTGCCAAAAGTCAACATGCAATATTTGTCACAGTCTTCCCTTTGGCAAATAACATCCATATACATTCTTCTGTTTAAACTTCTAAGCATCAATAATAGCAAACATTTATTCACCTAACTTATTGCAGCTATCCCTCATACAAACAAAAGGAGATCAAAGTCCTACCAGTCACTGTATCCATCTCTGGAGAATGTAGTATCTTTTTTAGTGTACCCACCTGCCAGTTTTGATATCTTGTAGTCTAAAGACTAAACTGCAAGGTTAACAACCACTAATGGTTCTTCATATAATAGAAAAAGGAGAAAGACACAATAAAAGACATTTGCCACTTATACAAATAAATGTAAAGAAAACAAGAATGAGAATATGTTTACTGCAGTCCTCACTTCTGCAACTCAGAGTTGGAATTTAGAACTTCCTTCCTTTACCACCCATCCATAATCATTTACTGTCAACGAAATCTTTTGCTGGCCAAGGTTACTTTGTGTGATAAGCCAAGACTTCATTCCTGAAGAGTCACAGCTCTTAGTGGTGCTGCTTGTAATGGGTTTTTGGTCATATTCTATTAATTTACACCACTGGACATGGAAATACTAAGAGGCACTCTGTAAAATCCTCTGGCTTCCAGACATTTCTGTTTTGAGGGGAAACAACTCTGTTTCACATTGATAATCAGAATCAATCACTTTGGCCAGCACAATATTTCAATATGGTGATGCTAATTTTTTTTTTTTTTTTTTTTTTTGACAGAAACACTTTTAATTTCCATCTGAATATTTACAACAACAACGGAACAGGATTTTACAGAAAACAGTGAACGTACTATCTGTATTCTAATTTCTTTTGAGAACAAAGATGCCTTTTATAAATGCCACTTTTAGAATAGACTGTATTTTTCTGTGTTACATCTAGATCGTTACACAAGTAAAAACACCCTGGGTAACCACCTTTTAAATTTTAAAATCTAAATCTTGATTCCAATATTCCTGACCTGTTTCTTCTTAGCCGAAAGAAATGTTCTTTTTTTTAACACAAGTTCCAATTCAGAATTTTTATAAACAACAACAAAAATCTCACACCTACTCAGTATCACTGTATATTCGCAAAAAGCAAGTTTCAGGAAAATAAAAAATGATTTACAAAAGGCACTGAATTTAGCAAAAACTGGTAGAGCTTTTCATTTTGGATCAAACACTGGAAATGTTCACGGAGCACCGGAGAGAAGTCAACCCTCAACTCAGGTGTGTAGTTTTGGGTATCAATCGTGGCAGTGGTTCTAAGGTGACCCCCATGCTCCAGGCAGAGCCCCCCCAGAAGGTCATGGCCAAGAGGAAGCTAAAATAAATGCAGTAAGGTAACTGACCAGGACTCAAAAGATAAATCTCTAGTTTCTGTACTAAAACACAACACTCTTTTATAAAGGAAATCCAAAGGAAGTGAATTTGGAAATATGCAATAAATCTCAAAACCGGAGAACTTAAAGATCATTTTATCGGCACTACCCCGGCAACTAAACGAAGGAACAAGAAGTGCAGATTCCTTAGGGCTGCTGGTCTGTCAAAGGCTGGGACCGTTCCCAGGACTCCCATGGACCAGAGGATTTATTCCCCAGACAAAAGCTAGTTTTATCTTCTGGACACTAGTTTAAATGTTTGTAATGACCCAAACTTGCAAGTGTAAGTCATTTCCAGGTTTGTTTACTCTGACATCCACCTTATCAACTGGTCGAACCCACTGGGACCGACTGGCAAAACAAAGATTTTCCATCAGGAACTAAAGTCAGAGACCCTTCCCAGAAAAGGAAGATGGCACTAAATTCATCTTTGTTGTTAAGAACGGAGTTGAAGCGAGTGCAGCTACGGGCAGCCCAGCCCCAGCATTCACCTGGGTTTCTGGTGCACACACAATGGGAATGGCATCTGACGCTTGGGAATGGCGAACTTAAGTCCACATCGTTACACACTGACGATTTTCAGAAAGTTTGTAACTGGATTTGCTTCCATCAGCTTCTCCCAAAACACCAGAAAACTAAATTTTATACAAAACATCTGCACTTTCTAAAAATCTTTTACTCTCAAAATGAGGACTAATAAATTAATCAAAGTCTATTCTTTTTGGTAAATTCTAGCAATAAACACATGACCCTTCTTCCTTTAGAAACAAGACAATGAGACGCCCAGCAGCTTGCCCCAGCTCTACAAGGCTGTGAGCTGGGCCAGGCGCGCCATTCTGCGGAGGTGGCTCCCATTTGCGGGGCTATAGCGCCCAGGGCTGCCCAGGCCCGGGGAGTGGGGTGCGGGCCCGGGCTTCCCGGGGCTTCTCCCCGGGCTGCAGCTGTGGGGACAACCAAGATCCAGCTGCTGAGACTCCAGCTTCCCTTTCAGCGCAGGACTTGGCCAACTCTGTCTGTCAGAGGGGGAGTAGCACAGGATGGCACTCTTCCATCTGTGGACGGCTGGGTACTGCTGAGGGTCCACGTCTGTACACTCCAGAGCTGCCAAAACATCTCGATCCAGTTTTGACGGCTCCTCTCCAAAAAGGAAGAGCCTCTGGACAGGCTCCTTCGTAGCGGAGATCCCTGAGGGCTCTGAGGACACGGAACCACAGTTCTGCTGAGCCTCATGCACAGGAGTGTCGGGACCCAGACGTATCTTAGCCATTTTGGCTGACATTTCGCGTTCTGTCCTGGTTTGGTTGTTTCTAAGTGTGTCAGCAGCAGGCGGCTCTAACAAGTCACTCTCGACTGCATCCACTCTTGATGTCAAGCTCTTCTTGTCTCTAGTTTTCATATTTTTACTTGGTGTCTTAGAAAAATTACTTTCTAGACCTTGCAAATTCAGTTTATCGAACTTGACCATTAAGCCTGAGACCGGTGAGATGAGAGCTTCCCCTGTGCCGGGGGCCTCTGGCCTCTTCCTGCCCAGGGTCCTGCTGCCACTCAGGGGGCTACAGAACCCATTCTTGCTGCTGTGGGGACTGGTCAGGGTGGAGGCTTCTATAAGGTTGGTCTCCTGCTCCAAGGGAAGGATGTCACACTTCGAGTCCCCAAAAGCGCTAACTGTGGGCTGGGTGTTGTTTCGAGCCGTGTTCTGTCGATTTTTAATCTCCTCCAAGCTCAAGTCATCGTCTTCATCCAGAAATGCCCTCACAGAGATGGAATTGCTGCACTTCCGAGCACGGCCAAGGGCAGAGGGGCTCTCCTGATGATAGGCCTCATTTTCTCCTGAGTCCTGTTGGGCTTTTTTGCCTGCTTCCTGGTGAGTGAGATATTCTTCTAGTTTTTGCAGACCTTCCTGGGAAGACAGATCAACAAAACAGCCCAGAAAGTCCCAGTATTCGACCCATGGATACCCCAGCTCATGAGCCAGCTCCCTTCCCACCCTCTCGATGCCTCTTTCTGGATCCGTCTTCCTGACGTTGTGAAAGAAGCCTGCTTTCTCCCGAGGCGGCGTTTTCCAGAGCCTGCGAAAATCTTCTGCCTTGGATGGGCTCAGGGGCCCTGCAAAGGCTCGCAAGGTCAGAACAGGGTCTCTGGGGCCGCCTCCACCATGGCCGATGTGAGAGGTCTCGGTCGTCTGGTCTGAAGACCACAACTCCCCAATCACTGGAGAGGATGTGTCCTCGGCTCTCAAGAGTGGCACGTAGTAGTGGCCCTTTAAGTACTCTCTAATCCGCTCCTTCAGTTCCACAGACTTATTTCTGCTTCTTTCACAAATGACATCTTCAGGAGTTTTATCATATTTATTCCTTGGATTTTTTACAATCAAAGGGTGTGAAGACAGCACGTTGACCACATCTGCATTCCCAAACTTACAAGCAAAGTGCAACGGTGTGTCATAGCCCGCTTTATCAGGAGTGTTCAGATACAGGTCCACGATGTAACAAATGCGCTGCTGCAGCATGTTCGGGTCATCGTCTGGGTACATGAGCCGCATAAACTCAGGGTTTTCCAGGGTCTCCAGAGTCAGCTGGCAGATCGAAGCTTGGTTCTCTTTGGCAGCAACATGCATAACGTTGTACCTACATCCTTCCTGCACGATGGTTGGATTGTCCCCTGAACCAATCAGATACCGGGGGTTACTCCAGGTGAGATCAGAAAAAATGTCTTCTTCTCCCTTCTCCACAGCTTTTCGAAGTTTGGCAGTGAGATCCTGAGTACGGGGGGTTTTATAACTGTTTGCTCGTTCTCTGTTTATAGTTTCTGACTCAGAGGAGTACAAACCATCTTTCAGTCCACCGCTGCCAAAGAGCGGTGCTATTTTCACAGGAGAAAGTGGTGAAGAGGCTTTGCTTGGAGAAGGGAAATAATCACAAACTCCTCTAGCAAATTTCTCAGCATCTTCTCTACTTGAAAAAGCTTTAAATCGAGATCCTTTGATCATTTTGACAGCTTGTAATGCTTCCTTTCTATCTTCATAAACATGAATCCTTTCATTTCTCGCTGGGGTGTAGGTGATGCTAATTTTTAACAATGATGATCACAGTACTTGTATTTTCTTTTTTTATCTTCATTCTGAGGTTACAAGATGTCAATATATCCATATTGAGGTTTTTTTGGTTTGATACAGGTGTAAGTCATTTTATAGATTGCCTTTATTTAAAAGTAACTTTGCTGAAATTTTCTACTTAAACAGATGGGTTAGTGAATTTCAAACTGTCTGAGATAGATGTGTAATGAGGAAAAAAATCACTTGCTAATATGGCATACTTTTTTTCTGCTCACAAAAGAAGGTCTTGACAGATAAGAAAGTACCATAGGGGTGGGCATTTACTTCTCTGCATAGAACTCTGTATTATAGAGAAGATATCTTGTAGATGCACCAACATGAAACAGTCTGTAGGAAGATAATTTGGTCTTTCAAGATGCGGGTTTTTTTAAATTTCTTTATTTTATTTTTTATTTTTATTTTTTTAAAGATTTTATTTATTTGACAGACAGACAGAGTGGAAGACGTGGGCTCAATCCCAGGACCCTGAGATCATGACCTGAGCCAAAGGCAGATGCTTAATGACTGAGCCACCCAGGTGCCTCGTGTTTCTTTTTTTTTTTTAAAGCTTTTATTTATTTATTTGAGAAAGAGAAAGACAGCACAAGTGGGAGGGGTAGAGGGAGAGTGGAAGAGAGAATCTCAAGCAGACTCCATACTGAGTATGGAACCTAATGCAGGGCTCTATACCAAGACCCTGAGATCATGACCTGAGTCAAAACCAAGAGTTAGACGCTCAACCAACTGTACCATCCAGGCACCCCTCAAGATGTGTTTTTGACATAAGTTACAGGATACAAGATGAGAAGTTATTCAGAAAAATTTCTTATTTGACTTATTATTATTGGGACCAGGCCTTTAAGAGGAATTTGGGACATGAATATAGACATTAGCAACAAGCTTGCTCTTTCTGAATAGTCTCCTTTTACTCTGAACTATTTATTTGTTAATTGCTCATCTCCATAAAAATGTTAAAAGCTAAAATCTTCACCAAGAAGTTTAAAAATAGAAATATGCAGGTATTAGTACACAGTTGAAAAATTGACATGAAGGATAAGTAAAATTTGCCAGGTGAATAAATATATAAGGATGGGAATTCAGGAGTGTATTCATGGGAAAGCTATAACACTAAAAGAATTAAAAGGGAGGAGCAAGATGGCAGAGGAGTAGGAGACCTAAATTTCATCTGGTCCCAGGAATTCAGCTAGATAAGTACCAAAACATTCTGAATACCTACAAACTCAACAGGAGATTGAAGAAAAAAATAGCAGCAACTCTCTGAAAAGAAAAGCGACCACTTTCTGGAAGACTCATATTCTATCCCTTCACTGTAGTTAACTTTATTTTTGGTATATATATAAGTTGTTCTCTCTTTAAAATTTTGGGATACAGTTTCTTCTAACAGACCAAAATATACCTTAAATCTCTAGTGTATGGTTTTGTTCCAGTCTCCTGCCTGATCACATTCTCTCCCCACTTTTTAAAAAAATTTCTCTTCTTTCTTTTTTCAACCAACTTCTTATCTTATCGATTCCTTTTATAAAATTTTTATACCTTTCATCTTTACAATCATAGTCCATCCCTTCATTGTATTTACCCTTATTTTTGTACATATATAAGTTTTTCTTTCTTTAAAATTTTGGGAGGCACTTTCTTCTAACAGACCAAACTATGCCCCAAATCTAGTGTGTGGTACTGTTTTGTTCACCAGCCTGATCATATTTGAGCCTAATCTGTTTTTTTTTTTTTTCATTTTCCTTTTTCTTTTTTTTTCTTTTCTCTTTCTTTCCCTTTCTTTTCCCATGGTTTTGGGTCTCTTCAGATTTGTTTAGTGTATATTTTTCTGGGGTCATTGTTACCCTGTTAGCATTTTATTCTCTCATTCATCTATTCTCCACTGGACAAAATGACAAGACGGAAAAAATAACCTCAACAAAAAGAACAAGAAGCAATACTGACTGCCAGGGACCTAATCAATACAGACATTAGTGAGATGTCAGAACTAGAGTTCAGAATGATGATTTTAAAGATACTAGCTGGGCTTGAAAAAAGCATGGGAAATACTAGAGAAACCCTTTCTGGAGAAATGAAAGAACTAAAATCTAACCAAGTCAATATCAAAAAGGCTATTAATGAGGTGCAATCAAAAATGGAGGCTCTAACTGCTAGGATAAATGAGGCAGAAGAGAGAATTAGTGATATAGAAGACCAAATGATGGAAAATAAAGAAGCTGAGAAAAAGAGAGATAAACAATTACTGGATCACAAGGGCAGAATTTGAGATATAAGTGATACCATAAGCTGAAAAAATATTAGAATAACTGGGATCCCAGAAGAAAGAAAGAGAGGGCAGAAGGTATATTGGAGCAAATTATAGCAGGGAATGTCCCTAATTTGGGGAAGGAAACAGACATCAAAATCCAGGAGGCACAGAGAACCCCTCTCAAAATCAATAAAAATTGGTCAACATCCTAACATCTAATAGTGAAACTTACAAGTCTCAGAGACAAAGAGAAAATCCTGAAAGAAGCTAAGGACAAGAGGTTTGTAACCTACAGTGGTAGAAACATTAGAATGGCAACAGATTTATCAACAGAGACCTGGCAGGTCAGAAAGGACTGGCATGATATATTTATAACATTAAATGAGAAAAATATGCAGCCAAGAATACTATATCCAGTTAGGCCGTCATTGAAAATAGAAGGAGAGATAAAAAGTTTCAAGGCCAAACAATAACTAAAGGAATTTGCAAACACGAAAACAGCCCTACAAGAAATCTTGAAAGGGGTCCTCTAAGCAAAGAGAGACCCTAAAAGCAACATAGACCAGAAAGGAACACAGACAATACACAGTAACAGTCACCTTACAGGCAATACAGTGGCACTAAATTCATATCTTTCAATAGTTACCCTGAATGTGAATGGGCTAAATGCCCCAATCAAAAGACACAGGCTATCAGATTGGATAAAGAAAAACAAGACCCATCGATATGCTGTCTGCAAGAGACTCATTTTAGTCCCAAAGACACCTCCAGATTGAAAGTGAGAGCTGGAAAAAATTTACCATGCTAATGGACACCAAAAGAAAGGTGGCATGGCAATCCTTATATCAGACAAAGTAGATTTTAAACAAAGACTATAAGGGATGAGGAAGGACACTATATCATACTTAAAGGGTCTATCCAACAAGAAGATCTAACAATCGTAAATATCTGTGCCCCTAACATGGGAGCAGACAATTATATAAGGCAAATAATAACAAAAGCAAAGAAACACATCGACAACAATACAGTAATAGTAGGGGACTTTAACACCCCCCTCACTGAAATAGACAGATCATCTATGCAAAAGATCAACAAGGAAATAAAGATTTTCAATGACACACTGGACCAAATGGACTTCACAGATATATTCAGAACATTCCATCCCAAAGCAACAGAATACACATTCTTCTCTAGTGCCCATGGAACATTCTCCAGAATAGATCACATCCTAGGTCACAAATCAGGTCTCAACTGGTACCAAAAGATTGGGATCATTCCCTGCATATTTTTGGACCACAATGCTTTGAAACTAGAACTCAATCACAAGAGAAAGTCAGAAAGAACTCAAATACAATGAGGCTAAAGAGCTTCCTACTGAAGAATGAATGAGTCAACCAGGAAATTAAAGAAGAATTTTAAAAATTCATGGAAACCAATGAAAATGAAAACACAACTGTTTAAAATCTTTGGGATGTGGTAAGGTGGTCCTAAGAGGAAAGTATATAGCAGTACTAGCCTTTCTCAAGAAACAAGAAAGGTCTCCAATACACAACCTAACCCTACACTTAAAGGAGCTGGAGAAAGAACAGCAAATAAAGCCTAAACCCAGCAGGAGAAGAGAAATAATAAAGATCAGAGCAGAAATAAATGAAATAGAAACCAAAAGAACAGTAGAACAGATCAACGAAACTAGGAGCTGGTTCTTTGAAATAATTAGATTGAAAAACCCTTTGCCAAATTTATCAAAAAGAAAAGAGAAATGACCCAAATAAATAAAATAATGAATGAAAGTGGAAAGATCACAACCAACACCAAAGAAATACAAACAATTATAAGAACATATTATGAGCAACTCTATGCCAGCAAATTTGATAATCTGGAAGAAATGGATGCATTCCTAGAGATGTATCAACTACCAAAACTGAACCATGAAGAAATAGAAAACCTGAACAGATCCATAACCACTAAGGAAATTGAAGCAGTAATCAAAAATCTCCCCAAAAGAGCCCAAGGCCTGATGGCTTCCTGGGGGAATTCTACCAAAAATTTAAAGAAGAATTAATACCTATTCTTCTGAAACTGTTCCAAAAAATAGAAGTGGAAGGAAAACTTCCAAACTCATTTTATGAGGCCACCATTACCTCGATCCCAAAATCAAAGACCCCATCAAAAAGGGGAATTACAGACCAATATCCCTGATGAACATGGATGCAAAAATTCTCACCAAAATACGAGCCAATAGGATCCAAAAGTACATTAAAAAGATTATTCACCACGACCAAGTGGGATTTATCCCTGGGCTGCAAGGTTGGTTCAAAATCTGCATATCAATCAATGTAATACAATACATTAATAAAAGAAAGAACAAGAACCATATGATCCTCTCAATAGATGCAGAAAAAGCATTTGACAAAGTACAGCATCCTTTCTCAATCAAAACTCTTCAGCGTATAGGGATAGAGGGTACATACCTCAATATCATAAAAGCCATCTACAAAAAACCCACAGCGAATATCATTCTCAATGGTGAAAAATGGAGAGCTTTCACCCTAAGGTCAGGAACATGGCAGGTCAGTCCACTATTACCACTGCTATTCAACATAGTACTAGAAGTCCTAGCCACAGCAAGCAGACAACAAAAAGAAATAAAAGGCATCTGAATTGGCAAAGAAGTAGTCAAACTCTCACTCTTTG